CTAGAGATATAACCCAACATTCTGTTGGCCTTTTTTATTGCTTCCCCACACTGGCGAGAGTGGGACATGGAAGCATCAACATACATGCCGAGATCTTTCTCATAATCAGCTACCTTTATTTCAGTGGAACCCATAAAATATCTGTACTTTATATTTCTGCTCCCTGCAGAAAGATTATGATGGTTCATATTGTATAACACAGATAACATACAATATTGCATGTCATTTATGACATCCATCCATCTCCTGTACCTGCTTATTCCATTTACGGTAACAGGGGTCCTGAGCCTATCCCAGAAACATGGGCACAACCCAGGGTGGAGTGCCAGCCAATCACAGGATTCACTCACACCCTATGTAGCAACTGATTCTGGGCCAGATTTGGGTGCTTGTGACATTCAGGCAGGAAAGTCTGGACCAGAATCTGTCCAGAGTTCTGAATGATTACAGTTGGTCTGTATACACTCTGAAGGTCAGGCACGCATTCGCCTGACCATATACGTGCGATCAGTCACTTAACAAATGTGTAACTGATGTGCTAAGAGTCTGAGGGGCGATCGGCCCACATAGCAAGATGAGTCTGAACTGGATCCAGGCCAAATGTTCAGAAATCGCCACAGATCTGTAAACCGAATCTGGCACAATGTACCAATACTGGTCCGAATTCCGGTTTCTGCACTGGAAACAGATAAGGACCATATATGGGTCAGATTTACATTGAACGTTACCAAATGTGGCCCAGAGTCAAAAGTGAAATTCAGAGCTGCTATGAATGGGGGCAGTGCGTGGCTCAGATGGTAGCGTCTCCCTTCTCGTGACCAGGAGGTCCCTTATTCGAGCCCCTGCCCTGGTGGAATGGTTATGTGTCTGAGCAAGACGGGATTGGTGAAGAGAAGTGCTCCAGTATAGTTGTGCAAATAAAAGTTTAAATTCTGCTCCACAGGATTCTGGAGCAGAGACCTTAATAAACACTTTTATTCCCACAAGTACAGCTACACATTTCCCTTCACCTACCATCTTGTTCTCCATAGCTCAGATATCAGAGTACAGGGTCAGCCAACACCCCCAGAGTTGGGGGGGTTTAAAGGCCCACAGACACATTCCACCAGGTGGGGGCTCAAACACAGGACCTCCTGGTCACAAGCAGGGAGACTCTGCCATCAGAGCCACTCACTGCCCCCATAGACTAAGGCAGGATTCTGGGGCAGAATAGCCAGCAGTCAGTCGGGAAAAAACACATCTAACATAAATACAGGTACATTACAATGTAATTGTAATACATTAATGTAATACAGGTACATTACAATGTAATACATTAATGTAATAACCTCTCCTGGAGTCGACACCTTATCGTGGTGGAGGGGTTTGCGTGTTCCAATGATCCCAGGAGCTAAGTTGCCGGGGGCTTTATGCCCCTGGTAGGGTCACCCAAGGGAAGGAGCCTGAGCTGGTGCGCGAGGTTGTGAAGTTCCGGCTAGATATAGTCGGGCTCACCTTGACGCACGGCTTGGGCTCTGGAACCAATCTCCTTGAGGGGGGTTGGACCCTCTTCCACTCTGGAGTTGCCCGTGGGGAGAGACGCTGAGCGGGGGTTGGCATACTTATTGCCCCCTGGCTGGGCGCCTGTACATTGGGGTTTACCGCAGTGGACGAGAGGGTAGCCTCCCTTCGCCTTCGGGTTCTGACTGTTGTTTGCGCTCATGCGCCAAACGGCAGTTCAGAATACCCACCCTTTTTGGAGTCCTTGGAAGGGGTGTTTCACCCACTGCTGAGGCCAGGGCTTGAACCAGCAACCTTCAGATCACAGGCCACTCGTTGCCTCCGTAAGCATAAGATCTCAATTATACTTCTGACTCTGGTGCAAATACAGGCCAGATTTGGCAACATTTAATGTAAATCTGGACCATATATGGTCATTATTGGTTTCCAATCCAGAATGTGGATTTGAACCAGTATTGGTCCATTGTGTAAAAAGAGATCCAGGCCAGATCCAGTTTATGAATCTGTGGCAATTTCCAAAGAACATTTGGCCCACATCCAGATCAGACTAATCTTGCTCTGCTGGATTCCATTCACACACATGGGCAATTTGGCAACTCCAAAACATCACAGCATATTTTTTGACTGTAGGGGGAAACCAGTGCAATCTGAGGAAACCCCAAGAGAACATGGGGAGAACATGCAAACTGCACGCAGATGGAGGAGGGTGGAGACTCAAGGCCTGGTCACACCCTGGGTTTAAGACGTTCAAAATGATATCAGAGCTGCAGAACAGTGGCACTTCCTGGCTGACGATTCTATGCAGGAATGAGTAAATTGTTTTTCTTTGCCTTCTTAGATGGGTTACTCCTATGCGTTCATTTGGCAAATTTGTCTTTTCTCTCATTACCAACCAAAAATGATCTGTCTGCAAAGATAATTCATTGTAAAACGGCAATAGTAATGTTTCCAGTGCAGATTGCAACATGGAACCAGAATAACTCATACACCTGTTACTGGGATTGGTGTAATAAGTCTTCATTAAAGATAAGCTCCTTTGCTCTTTAGCTTGCAGAATAATAGATCTTTCCAGAGATCTTTTCCTATCGTTGGTCGGTGTTGACTGGTATTCTTTTTTTGCTGTCAATGTAGATCACAGATTGGAAAAAGACCCTTGATTGTGTGAATTCTCAAATGAATGCCTTTGCATGCCTTCAAAATACAGAGCAATCATATCAAGGTAATTCATAGAAGTTTAAAGCAGCAATACAAAACCATACCTTTGAGTGGTCTAGAAGGAATCTATGGTTACAGATGAATGGTTCTATTAGGTTTAGTTGATTTGATTTGCCTTCTGTCTTGGAATATGTAACACTTTAGAGTTATCCTCATGTCCCTGAAGGTACTGGATGTCACATATACCCCAAAAATATGTGCTGCTGGGTGGCAGGTTTCCGTGGTTACTGCTGGGTGGAGGGAAAATCCAGCCCCGCACAGGTAAAGCAATGATAACTAGCTGTCCCCAATCTAAACCCAAAACACAGGTCTGGCCTTTTCGACAGTTAGATAATTCTTACTGGCAGTACATTTGCGATGATTCAGCACTGGCTCCATTACTAGTCAGCACTGCAAAGGATTTGTTGGTGGTTAAATATATTTGAAAGGTAGTTAAGTAACGGAAGTTATAAAGGGTAAATTAAAAAAATTACGTGACATCACTTTGTTTAAAAGATTTGTATTTGAAATCTAATGATTAGATTTTTTCTTTACATAATAGCATGCAGTATATTTCTACTTGTATATCGCCATATGTTTCATTTTCCAATTTCATTCAATTTATTAATGTACAGGCAACTTTTAAAATAGCTTTAAACTGCTATTCAAAATCTACAGTCTAACACTTTCTCTTAACAAACCAGCCCACTCTTTCTTTTTCCTATAATCTTAGCATGTCTTGGGGGGGGAAGGGGGGGCAGCCAGTTGACCTTGGACCCCCAGAGGTTTTTTTTCCTTCCTAGTTTTTAGTTCCTCTCCTCCGTTGCCATCTGACTTTCTTTCTTTCTTTCATTTCTCTCTTCCCTTCGCCCCGTTTCTGTATTACTTATGATGTTGTATCACAACACACCCATATAAAGCGCCTTGGGGGCGACTCGGTTGTGAAAGGCGCTATATGAAAATAAGTTGAATTGAAGAGAATTGAAATCGGCTTCCTGCAAAAGTACAAAGACAACAAATAAAGCAGGCTTTCAGTTTCTGCATAGATTTTATTGTGATGTTTAGCTCATAACACCTAAGGTCATAGAGTCCCTTCTTTCGTATTGTCCTCCAGCGCTGACCTTTCGCTTCTTCTTTCCGGAATCTAGCACTCGCAGTAGTACCCCGAGATCTGGTCGTTCCAGTTTCTCAGCAGACCCAGGGACACTTCTTTCAAACGGTAGTAGATCCCAGAAGCGAACTTCTTCTTCTTACCCTCCTTCTTGCTGCGTGACCAGACCGTCAGGGAGCACCGAGGGGCCACCACCAGCGACGAGATCCGATCGTTCCAGCCAGGGGGCATAATCGGGACGTCAGACTTGGGGTAGGCGTCCAGGTACGCCCCGGCGCAGCTTTGCTCGTTGTAGATGCTGCTGTCCTCCCACATTCGAGCGCACAGTTTGTTCCCGTCGACATCTATGAGAGCGTTCGGCTCTGGACACTGGGCATTCAGGTCCATGAAGCACAAAGTGCTCAGAAGAAGGAGGGAGACGGTGATCTTCATGATGGATGCTGCAGTACGTACCTCAGCAGGGTCAACGCTTCCATAAATACTCCCCTTAAATAAATTAATAAATGATAATGTCGCTTTTGTGTGGGAAATTTGACACCTGGAAGAAGATAAGTTTGACCAAATTTCCTCTCAATGACTTTCATATGTTATGACCCAGTGCTAAAAATTATCAAAAAGATTAATGAAAACTTTTATGCTATGACAATACTGTAGATTGCCTGACAAATATTCATATTTAATGGAAAAACTTTAAAAGCAGCCAAAATTAATCCCTTATTTATTGTAATAATTTTGATTTGGCTTGATTTATCCTCAAATGTGTTTCTCGTTTATTGATTGTGTGTATATGTAATATTTTTTTTCATATTATATCTGTAAAATTCATTATACTTCATTCAAATGGCCCAGCGAAGCCAAAGGCTATATTATATAGTCAGTGCCTTATCAGTACAGGTACAAGTACAAGATCGAGTACAAGACGAAGCAGAAAGGAAAACTGCACTGGATTTATAGAATATCATGTATGCTATAAGCTAGAATTGGTGCACAATACCTCATGCACTATGCAGGGCTCTAGACTAACTTTTTGTACTGGTTGCACTGGTGCGCCTAACTTTTTTTCTTAGGTGCACCCAAATTTTCAACCGCACAATGACGTACACAATGACGCATTCCTTTGTGGCGATATCTGTGTCTCCGTCGATCAGGAATGCCATGTACGCACCGTTCGCAATTTGCACAGACGTCTTTTTTTTCAATGTATCTGCGATGACTCCTATAAATTGGGCGCACGCGACATCATTGCTGTACGTCGGGTTTACGTTCAAGCCATTTTTCTTCATAAGAATTATTTCGGACTTGAATTTAGTGAAGGGAAGTTCTTCTTTTGCAAAATTGTAGGCAACGTTAAACTTAATTATCATCTCGGCCTCGTCTGATGATCTGTTCGCTGCTGCCTGCCGCTGAAAGGCAGCGGGGAGAGGGGACACTTGAGCAGTGCATTTATCGCGGCATGTAATGTGTTTTATAGATGCATTGTGCTTTTTCAGCGTTTCAATTCTAAATGTATTAGAACCAGTCACAAATGCACTACTGCCGGCCATGGTCTTCCCACACTCTTTACAGTAAATACAGTGCATTATATTATCGGCAGGGAAACTGGTCAAGCCACTCTTTTCGAAAAGTATACACTTTACCCCTTTTAATTTCAGTGGGCTCGGACTCGATCGTATGTGGCTCATTATCTAATGCCGTCTCCGGACCAGGGCTTGCTATAACTTGGGAGGTTGATGGCTCCGTGTCAGAGCATTGGTTATGATTTTCGGACGGATCAGGCCCTAACTTAACATTCTTAACGAAAAAGCTGTCAATCGTTCTTTTCATCTTCTCTCATAATCCGCGGCTACATCCACTGTTTACCTGATGGGCTACTCACCTCTCTCTGTCTGACTGCATCACATGCATTTTCAAACGTACACACACGGACAGGAATATCTGGACCACGGCCAATCAGAGGGGGGGGCGGGATCCGCCCTTCACTATCTCTGATTGGTTTAGACCACGATATGGGCCTAATGTGTGTCTGTTGTTGAACAACAGGGAGACTTTAAGAGTCACGGAGTTTCGTTTTTTATCCCCCTCGAACGGCTGGTCGCACCGGTGCAACCTTTGATTTGATTTTTTTTAGTCGCACCATTGAGAAATTAGGTCGATTATTGAGAAATTAGGCCATAATTGTAGTCTTGAGCTAAATGAAAGTGAAGTCCATTTAAACAGGGTACCCTGAACTAAATGGAGAATAGGGGCCTGTATCACAAAGCTGGATTTCCTGCTTAGCCAGATAACTTGTTGGATTTAAGATACTCTAGTTAAAATGGACTTATCTTTGTTCACTTACATTTAGCCCAGACTACCTTAAATCCACCAAGTCATTCGGCTAAGCAAGAAAAACTGCTTCATTACACCCCAGTTGTATTTTCTGGGTTCTGACTGACAGTTATAGACCAATAAAACGCTGAGATGCTCCTTCCTAGTTCCAGGTAAATGGCACACAAAATTCACGGTTCAGTACAAACCTGGGATTCGGGGGCACAGATCAGTGAAACTTCGGTACTGCAGGAAAACCAGAATTTGTTTTGAAATTTATTATTACTAAAACTGCAAACAGAAGCGCATTACGAACAATTGTAAACCTAAGGGATTATGTCTGATGTTGACGTGTCTGAATGATAAAACCGAACAGATTTATTTGCACATTGTGTTCTCTGCTACCAAGTATGGTTACTTATCTCTAGTGATAAACATATCTATGGCCATAGTTATTTATTGTTTAGCCTGGTCTGAATTTCCTGGCAAAAGTGCCTTAAATGCCAGAGGAAGACTAACTCCAGTCTTGCTCCGGTTGTACACAAACATGGATGATGTCATCTCAAACAAGTTAGCATGCTGGGTGTGTTTCCAGCAGCATATTTGCGCTTAATAAAACAAAGCCAAAACACAGTCTGGGTTTTACCAACTACTCTGTTTCCAGTGTTGGTGTGATATTTTGAGAACCAAAAACTGTTGATTATGACAATATAAGTATGATTATGTAACCAGCATTAGCAATAATCAACTCACAGCCACAATTAGCATGATTTTTCCATGTTGAACATCTACTTGTGAATGTAGATTCCACCCATGTTAAGAAATATATTAATTTGTTTCATTGCGCATTTTAGGTAAAGAGACAAGCTGAGCGGTCATCTGATCACCACCTGGTGGTCAGGTGGATCCGACGGCAGGGGAAGATGCCGGATAGACCTGATAGACCTGAATATATAGCGAGGCTGCGCTGGGAGAGTCTGGCAGGTCCCTGCCTGGGAGATCTTCAATTCGCACCTCTGGCAGAACTGAGGGATTCAGGGAACACTGAGCCTGAATGGACCACATTCCAGGATTCCATTCTGAGATGGCTGCGTCTAGCTGTGGTCGTAAAAAAAATTTGTGCTTGTCACGGTGGAAATCCTTGCACCCAGTGGTGGACACCAGAGGTAAAAGGAAACTGTCAGGCTGAAGGAGGAGGCCGTCCGAGCTTAGTTAGCTTGTGGGACTCCTGAAGCAGCTGACAGGTAATCTAGTAAATGATAATGATATGCTGGACAACAATTGAAGAACAAGTTTCCAAAAGTCACCCAGTACATTTCTGTTATTTTTGATATGAGACCGCCAAAGACAAAAAAAAAATAGGCTTCATCATCCTATGTTACAGTATCGGGAACCAAAACTCAGTTTTCACGTAATCAACAAAGAACTTTTGTGATATTTCCAAGCCGTCACTGACCTCACAGAAATTCTCAAAAACGTATCTCATGGACTGAATGAGAGGAAATTTGCTCTGATATCTAATTATGAATAAACTGATATTACTCTGCAGTCAAATACAATAAGAAAAACAACAAAAGAACACTGTATGCAACAAATGCCAGTATTTTGAATTATGCATACAGTAAAACACATTTAGCTACTGGCTGCAGTGCTGCTTTCAATTATTTTGACACAACAAATGTTGCAGCACATTTGTATGTTTTTACTTGATCGCACGTAATCCTGTGCAATATGAGGAGCTCTGTACCTGTACTACATAGCAGCCTGGCCAATACAATTGATGTCATTTGTTATCTGATAGGAGTGTATCACCAGTATTTACATCACCATTGTATTGTGCTGTAATACAGTCATGACAGCTTACTGCTCCCAGCTATGCATTGCATTACTGTAGTGAAAATAAATCTGAAATGGAAGGAGGCAGACTATTTCTTTGTGCTTGGCTTCCGTAGGAAGGGATCAGAAGGGGCAGCTTGGCAATCATCTAGAACCACAACTTTTCACATACAGCGGATAAGAGGTGTGAAATTAGTGATTAGATACATTTACAGTTAACACCATATGAATTTTAAAATGAGAAAATTTGTTTAAGCCTTCCTAAAGTAAAGTTTTCTACCAAAATACAAACAGAGTTCCTAATTGTTGTTGTTATTTGATACATTTGAGTCGTATGTCATGTGCTTATATTCTAGAACGTTCATCACTGTAAAATTTCTACTATGAATATGGATGGATGGATGGATGGATGTGACAAAGTGAAATCTGAAGGGAACATTTGAAGGAATAGATCATAATAGGCGAGTCATTACAGAAAAGTACCTGTGTAGTGTATGCCAATCTCAACTCAGAACTGGGTCGGAGAAGGTCGTGGCAGCTGCATGAGTTCTCTGACTCAGCATCGAAAGCTGTTGCATTTCACAACATCCCACAGCTAATCTAGGGGACAGCAAATGGACACAGGTGCAGACAAAATGATAAGGCTGGAGGAACCTTTCAAGGAAACACAACCCTGGGAGAATTTCCACCTGTCTTGATTGCATGTTTAATTGTATGTTTCGTGCCACCACCTGCACCAAACAAACCTGGCAGATAAAAGGATTTAGATTCTATCTTCTTTGTTAGTGGGAACTGGTTACGGCCAACCGACTCCAAGAGGGTGAGCGGACTGACCTCTCCTGGTGAGAGAGAGAGAGAGAGAGAGAGAGAGAGCAGCAAGTATGGAGGCAAAAAGAGAATGATTAGCAAAGTGGAGCTGAATTAAGACACTGAGCAAGATGGAAGAACAGGTGACTAGGTGAAAGACAAAGGACTATAGAAAGCAAATAAATTAAAACTTTGATTTTCAGACACCTGATACAGATAGAAGTCCGATGTCTCCCCCTAGTGGGCTTCCATTGCCAGTGTAACCTTCCAACTATGGTGCTCCATGTACAACATGGAGAAAACACCGGCCCAAAAACCAGTGCCAGGTAGAGCCATGCAGCAGAGGAGAAAATAAAAGAGAAGTCAAGATGGTCACAGAAATCATACAGCGAAATGTAGTCAAGGTGCAGGGAGCAGAGGAACATGACAACAGGCTCAGGGTCCACTGGCCAAAACTAACAGGTAGGACTGACCTGGCTACAGCAAGACCGGCAGAGAGGGTGGAAGGGGCACAAGAAGGGGTGTTCCTGAAAGGTGTACATGCCCTGGGCAGTCAGTGAGGTACACTTTCATTCCGAAGGTGTTCAGTGGGGATGAGGTCAGGGCTTTGTGTGGGCCAGTCAAGTTCCACCCAACCATTTCTTTATGGACCTTGCTTTGTGCACTGGAGCACATTCATGCTGGAACATGCAAAGTGGAGCTGATGAATGAATATTATTATTTCCTTTTTCTAGGAGTGTCGCCACAAGAATCGGCACACGACCAACATAAAGATTTGGTCGGTCCATCCTTCCAAGATGTTAGGAGGGTAACTGAGATCTATCAAATACAGAGTAGGTGTCTGAGTTCCATCCTCTCTGTCACTCGGTTTGTCTCCGTTTATTTCATCATATTATATACTTTTTTCTAACATTTATGGGGTCAATCTTGAAACAAAATGAGAACCATAAAAGCATGTTGTCTGGCATTTGCCCTCCACAGTCAAACATGATGATGTTCACAATCTTCTTAGAAGTGATTACTTTGGGTGTAATTAACTGAGACAAACTGAAACTGCCTAAATGAAATTCTTGGCCAATAAGGCGAATTTCTACAATTTTTAACTTGCATTCCCACAAGAGCAAATCACAAATCTGATGAGATTTAAAATACATGATCACACGCCTACATTACGTTTTTAACCAGCTGTTTCTTTTGGCATTTTTTGCAAGAAAGAAATTTAGTTGATTGATTGATTAATTGATTGATTGATGGATTAACATTTCACAATGCACTTTAAGTACAAACTCAGCTGAATATCTGGATTCCACATATAGCTTATCAGTACATTGTGAAGCTTTAAGATTAAAGACACCTTAGTTGGTTTTTACAAATACTGTATAAATACATTCATAAAATGAGACTCTTAACAGTGATGCACAAATCACACATGTGACATCATCGACAGTGCCACAGACATATAGATAAAACCTCTCCTCTATTCATAAATATACAAACGGTTCATTAAAATATAGTCTGAGGGTTTAATCAATGACACAAACCCACAATGTATAACACCTCAAAGCAACACACAGACAGGTCATAAAATTTGAAGAGCACTCAAAAAAAAGATATTTTTAATAAAACACATTGTGAACAATAAAACATGTAGAATATTTTTAAATAAAAAATTAGATAATTAGATAGATATTAAAAATAAACAAATTGGGGAAAATATTACCTTTATAAGTAGTACATATCTGCAGTTACAAATAAAAATAGATTAACACAAATAAGCAAAAGGCACAGTCATAAAGATATAAGGAGAGAACCTTCAAAGCGAGATCTACTTTCAACTTATCCTTTGTGCAACCTTTAAATATGTCTCTTTGTATACCTATGTATACACCTTTTGAATATTATATGTCTTATAATGCATTTATTTGAGTGTACAGTATATTATTTGTACTTTATTCTAAGGGACAGCAAGTAGATCTGATTTTTTTCTTGGACAAGGATGAAAGAACAAAAATGGATGTAGGTGAACAGATCATTTCAGCATACAATTTTGCCATATATACATCAGATATTCTGGGAAACATACATGTTCTCATTTACAAAGTGATGTGTTCAGCTGTACATAGACAACTCTGCTTTATATTAAACAGGATTATATGGACTTTTCCTGACTTTATGATCTGTTACTCACAATTCACCTAAATGACAGTCTCTATTATCAGGCTACTTCCTCTTCTCCTCTTAAAATATTTTTTAATCATCGGGAGTAAACGCATTAATAACAGACGATAATGATATACCATCAGTTATTAATCATCAGATATGATAAGAAAAATAAATAAGATCTGTAATAGATTGGAAATTAGTTGGCAGTTTTGCTTTGAATATAATTCTAAAAAACAGTTATACAAAGGCACTGTGCCAGACATCAATTATCAGTGCTATTTTCTCATCATTTTACCTTACAGTTCTCTCCAGTCACAAGTGTATCTTATAATACATTTATAAAAATATTCAGTCTATACATGATCACGTTTTTTTTTTTTATTTGGTTGACTTCTCACATTACTAGGTCTCGTTTGGTCAAATCCATGCCAATGGTCTTACCTGGCAAAGACAAAAAAAATTAGCTTTAAGTTACTTGTTATCATCTAGCTGCTAAAGAATGTAGGTTCTGGGCTGGTGGGGGCCTGGATTTAAAGTGAGCAATGAGTCTTCAGGCTGGGTAATACACAGCGTATTTTATAATCCTTTTTTGGCATCATTTAGAGTTTATGAGTAATGGCAAGAAGTGATTCAGTGATATAATCTAAGTAAACCCAGCAGGGATGTTAAGTATGAGTAATGTTCCTGCCTTGAATCTTACTCCCTTGGAATGACCTGTCAGGAGGTCTGGAGTTCTGCGATACACGTCACCCTCCTGGCTTCACCAGTTACACTGGTGCTTTGGTCAAGGTGCAGAATAGCTCTACTACTGCAGATTTTTTTTCCTGTTTAACAAAGCTGAACCCTTCCAGTCCTGGCCAACATTCTTCAGCTGTGTTCCTATTGGTTGGTCAGTGTGCACAGGTGCTCGCCTCTGTTAGTGTCAAGTTTAGGTGCATGGAAAAATTGTTATGCATTGTCTATAAACATCAAAATATAATAATTAATTTGATATAATACATAATTTAATATAATACTATAATACCTTCAAATCTAAATAAATAAGCAAAAAATAAAATAATACTATGGAAAAATAATAAAAGCATTTTGTATCTTCCCACACGATGAACACACACACCCATCCTCACAGTAACCTCTGTCCAGTGGACGACACTTTGCTTTTCAAACAGCATCATGCACTTATAAAAATAGCCAAGGCTGCATCTCTCACGTTGCTTACACCAAGGATGTATGTTACAGTAGAACAGTGTTTTGCATCCCCAGAGGGTCCACGTTTTTGTTCCCTCCCAGCTCCCAATCCAGTCCTGCGGATCCCCCCAGCAGTTTTTGCTCCCATCCAGCTCCCTGCCAGACACTCCACATTTTTGCTCCCTCCCAGGACTGTCTGGGGCTCCCCAAGGACCGGACTGGGAAACACTGCAGTAGAGTACCGAGGAAGAGTTTGGTTCACGCAGAGTCACCATTAGCACAGAATGCCGTGGGACAGACTAAGGGCGTGAGGCTATATGAGAAGGTGCACGGCAGCTTGCTGAAGCCACGGTGCACCGAGGGGGTGACAGGTTTCAGGGAGGGGATCGTGCCCTTCGCCCACCAGCTCCACACCCTCTCCTCCCCTCCCCCAGGATCACCGCACCGCCTTGTGCTTCCCGCCACAGCAGCCGCACTGCTCGCCGCAGCGCAGGCAGGCACACAGGGGCAGATAGCAGCACATGCAGGGCACGAGAAGCGACAGCGCCAGCAGCACCACCCAACGCACACAGCACGCCGCGTGTGGCCACTCGCCCGGCAGCTCCTCGCACGAGCACGGCTCCCAGAACTCGCCCTCCGGGTCCGAGGTACAATGGTAGAGCAGGCTCTCGGCGCACCACACGCAGGTCCACTGGCGCAGGCAGTGCAGGGCTGGGTCAGGGGCATCCTGGCAGCGGCCGCGCCCATTGTCTGAGGCGCTGAAGACGGAACGGCAATAGATGCAGCGGGAGGTGGGGGATGACGATGCGGTGGGCGGGCGGGCAGTGTCATCCGCGGGCCGGGTGGTGCCATCTGCGGGCCGGGTGGTGCCATCTGCGGGCCGGGTGGTGCCATCTGCGGAAGACAGGCCAAAAAGTCCCAGGCTGAGGCCGCAGTCGTTAGTGCAGGCCCCTCCTCTTGCCCCGCCCCCTCTCTTCCAGCTGCGTGACCGAGGCTTGGCAATGGACGTGTGAATGCAGCATGGCAATGGGGAGCCCAGTCCGGCACACGGTGGGCACCCTGCACCCCCCCCAGGGCTTGTCACGGCATTGGGTGCAGATATGCAGGTGGGCGATCCAGCCGAGAGCCGCTGCGGCAATTTGCTGTCCAGCATTACAGCCACCTCTGCCCCCCCGACCCCTACCCTGGCCAGATCCTTCTCAAAATGCACTGCACACAGCTCCGACTTGTCCGACAGGCCTCCTTCACCCGCAGTCCTTCTCATCTCCGCCCGTCTGTAATCCTCATACCCACGCACGCCCCACAGATCCTTTAGGTCGCCGTGGTCTAAAAGAGGAAGGGGAGGGGCTGAGAGAGGCGATGAGGTGACTGGCAGTGTGGTCGGCGTCAGTGGGGAGGGCGTGGCCAGCGTCAGGGGGGAGGGCGTGGCCGGAGTCAGTGGGGAGGGCGTGGCCAGCGTCAGTGGGGAGGGCGTGGCCGGAGTCAGTGGGGAGGGCGTGGCCGGCTGCGTCGCTGCTGGGTTTCTTGAAGCATCGGTTGTTGAGGGCTGGTGCTGCAGCGGCATAATGTGAACCTGTGAGCATCGGACAGGAACCTGTTTATAATACTGCACGTAGACATTAAACACAGGAAGCAATTGCCAAACTTACCTGCTCATTAAAACGTTTGGTAAAACTGTATTGTGTTAAGGAAAATAATGCACAATATAATTAATGAAAAGAAATAATGAAATTGTGAGCTTAAGCACCGTAAATTGCTTTGTTAAGCTTCCACATTTAGAAAACGTACAGATGATAATGCACAGAGGAGGAACAGTGTTTAGTGTCTCACACCTGCAGGATTGGGGGTTTGAATCTCTGCCGTGTGTGTGTGGAGTTTGCATGATCTCTACATTACATGGGTTTCCATGAAATCAGACTTGAGCGGTGTGTAGCTCAGCTGACTAGGGCTCTATGCCCTTGGACAGGAGGTCATGACCTTGTATCCTATGTTCTTCTGGATAGGGTCCAGGCCTCCCCTCACCCTGAACCAAATAAGAAGAGGATAAAAACGTGCTACAAAACAGACTCACTACCGTGCTGCCTACTGACCCCCCGTGCTGCCTACTGCAACAATTACGCAAATAAGATAATTATACATAAATGACCAGCATTACACAACATTGTGCAGTGTGAGCTCTCACCATGGCTGGGGTCTGAGCGGTGACAGTGTGCTTCATCCCGTAGCTCAAATCCTCTGAAACTGGAGGGTGCACAAAGAAAGTGGAGGAGGACTCGCTGGTCACTATGGTGATGGGTTTGGGTAAGGTTTCTTTCCTGCTGTTGAAGGACGATTCGCTGTCCGTACGAGACTGAAAAAGAGAGGATAGATACATAGACTGTACTGGTCCTACTATGCAAAAATAGTGTTTACTTTACTTTTTACACACATGCAGATACTTGAAATTTGTTGGAGAAAAGGAAAGAAACCCAATGTCAGCATATAGTATAAACTGTTAAAGAACTTGTAGTAGGATAAGACTTCTGTGGTTTTAAGTTTATATTAGAACAAACTAGGGTATATGGCAATAAATAATGTAATACAAATAAAATGTGTTAGAAAATATGAAATGGAAATATTGCTAGTAAGAATCAGCATTTTGAGAAATAACAAAAAATAAATTCAAGATGGAGGATGCCAGTCTGCGCTTAGGCAGGGCAGCACAAAGAGAGCAGACACTCACAGGCTTGGGCTCATCGTCAGGGACTCCCTGCTCTGGGGCGCGAAGGACAGGAGAGGTCGTCCCTGAAAAATGAAGACTGAAAGCATGGAGTTCAAGATACCAGTATGGAGCTATGTTTTTAATGACATTTTAAGAATTTGTCACTCAGAAAATGTTCTGCAAAATCTTTTACTGTAATGCTTGGGCCTCTTAGAAAGCAACCCGAGTTCTGTGAATTCATTCTTAATGGTGCTGCCACAAAAGGCCGGAAATATTACAGACTGTACTAACTAGTCAAACGTCACATTCCTGTTAGAGACTATTTATCAAACCATTCTGGATTAAGAGAACAAAGAAAAACTGAACAATAAGCAGATTCATCTTTTTACAAGACTGTACATATCCTGCACAAAAATGCAGAACTATAAATATACCAAAATTATTAGACACCCAAATAACAAAAGGACAATGAGAGAATGTTAGGGAAAACGTTCTCTACACAAGAAAATAGGAACAATCAAAAAACTTCAAGATTATACTTTTATGTCATTGACCTACATAATACAAAAAATATTTTCAAAAGGTCCCTTGTTTACTGAATGAGGGTTTTAAAATCAATATCAATTATGGATTTGAAAAATGATATAATTTGTCAGTTTTATACTCTTTGAATGTTCTGTCGAGTGTGACACCTTCCTGAATACTATGGCCTTAAGTACTGTCCATTCATGCTTCCTGCCATCCAAACTCTGTGCAGTACCTCTGTCCATCCAGTCAATGACACTGCGGAGTCCACTCTCGAAGGAGACGGCATCAGCGGGGCTCTGAAATGTCAGGCCAAACTTCCTCTCCTCCACACGCCAGTGATGGAAAATCGGGTTCACTTTGTTGTACACCAGCCCCCTCTGCACCGCACAATCCAACACTGGCTGCAGACACGCATGAGAGTCACTCCGTCAGCCATCAGGGGCAGGTAGACGTAAAGCAGAGGATTATGGGTAGTAGGTGGCCAAATCAGGTGTATCACACGCTGGCTCACCGCTCGGTCCCGCAGCCTTTCTCCACGGACGAAGTATTTGGCGTGGCCCTTGGCGTCCTGGCTCTGTCCCTTACAGATGACCACGTGACTGAGCCCACCGCCCCCCAGGGGCACCCAACCGCCACTGGAGTCATCACGAGTCATCACCACTGCACGAACACGCACCACACTGGCAAAGAAGTGAGAGGAATCAGTGTAGGCGATAACAGGACAGAGAACACAGCCTGCCTTCCTCAGACTGCATTCTGGGAAAGGAGGCTCCTGAAAGCAAAGCAGTCAAAAAATGCATTTCCTTAACCGAACACGTAGTGTAAAAATATTTATTTTGCAATAAGATTATATATTATGATATATATACTATAAATACCAAGACAAACGAATGTATTTCAGAGATTTTCAATATTTCAGAATTTATTGTTATGCTATTAAAAGTTTGTCCGTATTTTAATATAAATTACTTTGTAAAAGCAGTTTAAATGAAAGCGTAAACTGTGAGAAAACGCCTTGCTCATACAACATTCACTACAAAACCTGGCCACACTTATCAATGGCGTCGAACAGCGCCTTTTTCTTTCAGAATGGACAGTCACGTGATCAAATGGATCGCCTTTAAACTTCACAATGACCATTTCACAAATAATGGTAACGCGTATGTTTCTTAGCAAGATCGCAAGGCGAATTTTGTGTGTAAACATGTAAAAACATATATTTTAATTAAACTCAGGGAAAACACATTTCAAATCGCAATAATTAAATGAAACAGTAAAATATAACTGCAATGAAGAGCAAAAAAAAGGAAAAACGAGCCAAATACTAGTTAACTTAAGCTAACGCATTTCAAGTAAGTATATTAGCCAAACAAGCAAGGCCAAATTTCATATTAAGAATTAGCCATTATAATGTACCCAGTTTTTAAAATACAGAATGAAATTAATCGCCAAAGCAGGGGTAAAAACTAAAGGATGGCAACTATCATAATACCACTATTATTAAAATTACTGTTCAACGCTTTAATCTATCCTCGTTTATCCGACTGCACATTCTGCACACGGACACACTGCCTACAGTGCGCGCATACACACCCCGGCATCCCTTATCTTATGAATGAGATTCGATGCAAATTCTGCTGATTCAAAACCAACGTAAATTTTATCCAGGAAAGCAATTAATATAATAGAAGGGTGGGAAATGATAAGATCAAGAGGGAAACGGGGATGTCGAGAAGAAGAAAAAATGAAAGGGGAGCTGGAGGAAAAAAATCCAATCTCATTCATAAAGTTTGGCTTTAAAAATCATAATGAAAAGCGAGAGGCGTTGAAATCACCTCGTGATCACCTCTCCGTCACCCTCAACCATTCATAGCTGGCTGTTTTGGTTCTCGGCTAGAGGTTGGAAGGAAACTAGCCATATTTTACTAATGCCACCAATATTACTTAATTCATAGCTCATTCAATAATTCTTCATTTCAGTTTACCATTATTTTTCTGAACTCATTCACACTAACATAAGCTACAAGTCTGACGACAAGCTTTGATGTACAATAATTTCCTCATTTGATGCTCATTTATACGAAAAATATGTGAACATTATTTTCTAACTCTTGTGTCTGGTAACAGATGTGCACCGCCTACTCCATCAGACAGGCTATGTAATTTTTCCACGTATGTCCGCATGGATTTGTTGTGATATTTCTTTTTTCTTCCTCATACCTGTCGGCCTGATCGGAATGAGTCATTCGGCTGTAATTAAAACGATCTTTTGCCCGTTTTATGGCAAATGCCGACTTACTCGCGCTCCATAGCTTGGTGTCGCCCGCCGCCTCGAGCTCGCTGCCCTCCGGTCTCCGGTCCTTTTATTCACTCCCTCGCTCCCAGGACAGACATGTTCACACACACATTCACACACACACATACGCAGCCCGTCCCTTCTCTGTTGCCACTATCTGACTGTCAATTTTTTATGTTCGCTCTCTCCATCTTTATGTCCTTTCGGTGTGTCAGGACAGACTTGAGGATGTAGCAGCCATTTTCCGCTGGCAGCGGCGACGGGAGCAGCATCCTCCCTCCCATCCTTTCTCTCTCTCATCCTCTCCCAATTACTCCCTCCCTATTTCTTATTTTCCCACCCTGTACCTGGCGCTGTCCCCCCTGACTAGCGTTAAACCCACTCGTACTGCCGCCACGGACATGTTACTCCCCCGGCAGACTGTCACATCCACGCTGACTAAATCTGACACGCGCTGGCGCGCGCGCACGTGCACCGCACTCCGCACAGGACTGATTGATGCGCATACAAACCGCCGACATCCGCCGCACCTTAGGATGCATGCAACGGTACCCATAAATGTACAAAACACTGCCACAGCGACAAAAGGACTTTATTCCGCTGATTTCATTGTAGTCGTGTACTTGTGGTAAGAATCAATTATCATACTTGAACCCTGACCCCGGGATTTTAAAGTGGGATCGTGCGGTACAGTTTCATTCAGTTCATATTCAAACTTCTACTTAGACCCATTAGTTGTTCTCAAATCCAGTAAATCATCTCTTTGGTGCATAATTTTCCCCCCCTCTTTTTATTCCTTTGAAGGGATGTGGGCAGTAAATAAAGTTCCCTTTCTTGAGTTGTTTTGCTTTAAAAAGTCTGAAATTATAAAGAATGTCTTGTTAGAGGTTTAGAGACATCAGTTTACCTAACATATTTTGCACAATATAAGGAAGAATCCCTCATATAAACAAGGAAAATATGCAATTTCTATACAAATAAACACACAACGCCAGAAGAGGGAGGCTGCAGTGACCACTAACTCACCCAATACTGAAGTTTAGCCACTACCATCCCTGTGTAAAATAACCAATGTCAAAATACCTTGCACCATTCCAGGCAGAAGTTATCCAGGTGGAACACAGTGTCCATATCCTTGGTACTGTTTTGACCCCAAAGGCTACTTTCTTTTTTTTTTCTTTTTTTTACAAATTCTCATACAGTATATGCCAAGTGTTTTCCCACACTGTCAGGGTAAGGGTATATAGCCCCGGTCGAGTTGTTCCCCAAAGTACAAACAACATTAATGTACCCCAATGGTACAAAAATGTTCCTCAGAGTCCATTTCTCTACCTTATGAATGGGTCAAGACTGGGCCACACAGCACTAAAAGATCTTTTGTCTTGGGGCCACTACTTGTGGGAATTTTGCTAACCTTGTGAGGTTGTGAATAAAAAAAACAAGCTCTCCGTTACGTCCTGCCCGTCATTTCCACCTGACCCTCCCGTCTCCTCCCTGACGTGGCCCTGATGAACCACACCTGTTGCTTGTTTCCCCTCATTAGTCTATATATTTAAGTACCGGTTTGTCGCATCAGCCCCAGTCTGGTCCTGTTGCCTGTGCCCTTCCCTGTACCAGTCCTCCCAGTTTTTGACCCCTCGTGGTCCTGTTTGTTTTCCAGCACCTGATCAGTTTTGGTTTAATAAAGCCCCTTCTTGTTCCTACACCTGCCTTGGAGTCCTTTGTCTTGTATACCACGACACTCTCTGATACCTAGACCTGTAAGAGTCTTCCTGAGGATCAGCATTTCCTTTGTTTACCAAACCTCTGGAGATATGTGACCTATATAACCTTGCTGAATACTCAGAAGGACTTGCCTTCCTGCTTGAGTTTTAAGTTCCCTGCCCCCTGTGTATGTTTGCATGGATGCATAGGTATAAAATCTTCCCTGTTTGCTGAAACCATCCGCCAGGGTCCACCTTAGGGATGTATAACATCTTTGCTTCAGTGTCTCTGGGAGAACATGAGCAACATCATCGGGCAGGTCCTGTGGGAGGTAAAGTGCATTAAGGTCACCCAGAAACATCTACCTGTATTAGTTATCCTGCAGAATAGGACCCAGGCCCTTGTCCAAGGTTGCATTTCATTAGATTTCCAGAGATCATAGCAAGAAACGTGGGAGAAGCAGGAACAGTACATCGGAAAGACTTGGACATCTAATTAAGGCTACTTTGGTACCTAAACAGACCTTTTGAAGGATCTCTAAAAATCTTTAACATGCAGTAAAATTAGATTAGGGTTTTCTCAATAAATTTAGTAAAAATCTTTAAGAAGATATTACAATAAATTAATGTGCAATGTTCTTATGACTGATGAGTGACATCACATGAATACTCAATCCCTGCTCTACAAAAGAATTTTGCCCATATTAACATTTTTATCAAAATACCCACTGGTGGGTGGGAGGGCAGTGTATACCATCTTACAACAGCCCACTCAACATAGTCCCCACTTACCCCTGCATATTAAAATTAGTTTTCATTCATCACTTTCACAGCTGCTTCACAGAAGTCTGCTTCACATTGACCTTTTGTTTCACACACCTACTTCTACAGCATTAGCTGATTCCCTTAATGGGCAGGAGATTCAGGTTACCCTTCTCTTTTGCACTATACATAAAACACATGCACAGATGCTTGGTGTTGTACCTGAACCACAAATTAACACATTGAGCTCCTCATCCTTGAAGTCCTGGGCTAGGACCTCCCTGAAGCTAGTGTGGACATCTGGGGCTCTCAGGACCAATTCTGCCCTAAGGTCTTCAGGACCTGTAATGCTATTTCCACTTTAGTTGACCAGACAGCTTTCTCTGGCGGACCATTCATTGTGATGTCCAAGTGTCAGGGTACATGGGCTGATAAAGAAAGGATGAGCCACAAATAGAACAACACCAACCGCAGGAAGGCACTTACCTGGGTCTTTGTGGTCGGACAGAGTGTATCCCAAATAGCAGCAGTCTTTTTCTCCTGTGGTTTGAGGAACCAATTGCGATGCAATATTCCAGGTAGTGTGCTTCCTGTAGACCACATGGCACCTGGCAATAAGTCCGGCCTCTCTGAGGTCATCCAGTACTCTCCTCATCCTGCAGAGTTGCTCTGCTAAACACACCGATTGCACCACCACATCATCTAGATAGGCTGAGGTATATTCCTGCAGTGGCCTTAGGACCTAATCCATTAGGCACTGGAAGGTGGCCGGAACCCTATGCAACTCGAAGGGAAGAACTATATACTCCCAGAACCTGCAAGGGGTACTGAACGCAGTTTTCTCTCAGGCAGCCAGAGTCAGTGGTACAGTATGTGACAGCAGCTCTCAGTGAGGCCCAGACTGGAGATGAGCTATCCCAACTGCTCTAGCAGTTTTTCAGCTCATCAGACAACTGTTGAACATAGGCACCTCCAGAAATCATTACAGAAATCATTACAGAATCGGAGCCTGCTGTAGGGGGTGGTAGACCATCAGATGTGGTGGTTGACCACAGGTTGAGGATCTCAGCAATTACTCCCAGCTGCAACATTTGCTGGATCTCCTGCTCAATAGCTTGCTAGTGTACGTTTCAGGCTCTGTAGGGATGTTGCAGATGTCACCCCTGGTAAGTTGCAGGTGTCATGTGTGATGATGACATAAGGGTAAAATAAATAGTGTCAGATCAGTCATTGTGTAACTTCCAGTAATCTCTGACGTCTCAAAACAAACGTACTCACACTTTCTGGGGATAGTCGCTGTAAAATGTCATGGTGGTCCATTCTGAGACACTGCATATCATATGTGATGTTGTGTCACGGCTTTAGCGACGATTCCGGTCCCTCTGCAACTTTCCCATTGTCTCCCAGATGAAAAACTAGAAGTAGTTTGTCAGAGTCAAATGAAATTATTTCAGAAGCAGAAGATCAGTCTTCACTAGAACCTGAAATGTATTCCTGCCTGATCATCCAGCATGACACGCTATACTCTTCTTAAATTCTTGCTGTAGACATCCTGTGTTCAGGAATCATTTTGTAATTAGCAGAGGCACATGAGTAATTATACCATGACTTACACTGGATAAGTAATTATAGAAGATGGACTGATAGATGGACATGACTATTATACAATTATGACTTCTGCAAATAGCTTTGTATGTACTTTATCAACATATGCAACATATGTTAAAGGACTGACAGATTAAAAATGTAATTTGTAACAGGACTAAAATAGTGGTACAATACATATTGATGGAATTGATCTTTATTTCAGCTTAACAGTTGTGTAATGGCATGGTATAGTCATGAGTAAACACGTGGTTTTAAATGGTGGTTCAAAGTTAGTTATTCATACATTTCTTTATTGAAAGTAATTAATTATTCCATGATCACCATGATAAACTTTTGTGTTGCAATGCTGCCAAACCCAAAACATTGCAGCCATCCTCCTTGAAATAAAGCAGGAAGGAGAGGGGAATGATTTTTTTTTTAATTATATATATATATATAATTATTTATTTATTGGTCAAAATTATTTAAGTAGATATTTCAAATATTGCAAAAGTACATTCTGAACATATCACACTTATTTCCAAATGTCAGTGTGAATCTAACGCTGTTTTTTGATAAAATACAAGAGTAATACGATAAAATAATTTTGCATTTGCTAGTATTAAAAATATAATATTTGCATCATTAAAGTATGAACCAACCCAGCATGGGGGGAGGCAAAATAACCATATAAAACCTGCCAGCGATTAATTCTCCCAGTTGCTAGGATACCTGGCACTTTGCAATGAAGTCACTCTTTGAACGGTATACTTCAGGAAGAATAATATGGAACTCCATTTATTTAGTTGGTTACTATTGTAATTATTGTGGTTGTTGTTGTTGTTGTCGTCATGTGTAGAAGCTATGTTTATGTTTAAAAATAGCACTAAAGTCCTTTTATTTTCCACAATATTTATGGGGGGGAAAAATATATATATATATATATTTACATGAAGAGCTTGTTAAAAGGCACATAATTATTTGTTAATATATATGTAGAAATTATCAGGATGTAAATTGTAGTTGAAAACTGGATGTCATAGTAACCTATGAAAGGGATCGGTTAATTAAGCCACCCATTAATGACACAGGTATGTAATTATGCTGCGTGTCATTCACCTTGGAGGTCGGAAGTCAAAGCTGGGAATGAGATCGCACCTGAGGTAACCGCATTCCGGTATAATAAGTCAGAAAGCCATTTAGCAATACCAGTTCTAGCCAGGTTCGCTGTTAGCCGTTGTTAGCAATACCAGTCGATAACACATTATGCAGTACTTGGCACATACAAACACCATAACATAAGTCCACAGATAGCATTTGGACAGTATTGTGTGTACAACCGATTTAATGACACACAAATAATGCATAAGTGCTAATAAACAACATTTAACTACAGCTTTCACTTCTGTTGAATTCTGAAGTCGGGGTTGCAGAGGTTCCTCTGACTTTCCGAGTCGGAATTCTGATTTCAGGGGGCGTTCTGGCTGAAATTTCAGACAAAGAACGTGGAAATGACAAATTCCCAGTTTA